AACTGACCATTCTCCTTAACCTCTCATTGTGCAGGTGAAAGAAAAGGATTAGTCAACATGTTCAGCATAACTGGAGTGGCTGGAAGACAGTCACCCAGCCTCAAGTTATGAAAGAGAAGTTAAAATTAAAAAGCCACCAAACCTCCTAACTTCAAGGACTTTCTTTCCTTTTTTTTTTTTTTTAACTAAGCCATGAAGTTTTTTTGTGTTTACTTTCTTTAGTCAATGGTAGCAGGAATTCACAGTGTATGAAAGAAAATTTAGAAGTAGAAGCTGGAAAAGCAGAATGGGGCTAAGAATCCAGAGTCTGGTCCCAGTTTTGAGTTCAGCAGATCTACCCTTTTAACAGAAATTGGGATTTAGCTGAAATCAGTGGAAAGTTGATCATGTCTGCAGGGCTCCTCATTTGACTGTAGAGCAGAACTCATACATCATATTGGAAAAATAGATGCATGTTAATTTTTTTGATCTTATTTTTAAATTATTTGCAATCAGTGTTTTAGGTTAACAGATAATTAAAATTTTTGTCTACTACATTTGGGAAGAAAATCACCTTTTGTTTCAAGGCAGAAAATAACTGAAGAAAGTTTATTCTTTTGTTCCCTTACAAATTACAGATTATACCCTTCTTTTCTTGAAAGAAAAAAAAAATCCTTCCCTTATTTCAGACAGAATGGCTAACTTTTGTAATCTAAATTAACGTTTCCTCATTAATTAAGCAATCCTGTTGACTGACTTTCACATGTGTCTAATAAAACTTCTGAAACAAACAGAAGAAGCAAAAAAACCCTAAAAAGATCACCCCTTTCCCTATGGGAGGAGATTCCTCAGTTATCAGGATTAATTAGTTCTCTTGCTGTCACATGAAAAGAAGTTGCACCCCCCAATGTAGGTCAGTCTGAGGGTAGACCGCTGACGGTCGCTTAGTGACAAGGCACAATGATAAGTGAACGTGTCCTGTTGAGCCATGACCCTTCAGAAAAGACAGTGTCAAGTAAAATGCCCAGGGAAGGTACATAGAAGGCATAATCTGCTTCTAAATATTGACAGTAGGAATTTCTCTGCTATTCTCCTTCCTTTTTCTTTTCTGGCAAACATGTCAAACTCTATTGCATTTGTACTCTGCATCAGTTCTGGAGCGTTTAAAAACGTAAGGAGGCTAATGACCCATGAATAGATAAGATGTCAAATAAAGCTATTTTTCTTCAAGACTTTGGGTCTTGCTGGTAAAAGCATTGTCTCGCACACTTGTAAAAGCAGCAATATTGGCTGGAAATAGGATCTTTTACTTCAGCTTTTTGTCAGTGAAAAACTAAATAAATATATAAAAAATCTGACATGTCATGCCCAATACACTGATGCTAGGTCTTGAATGTTAATAAGATTAACTACTGGAGTTAATTGTCTTGATTGTAAATTGTGCTTGCAATCAGTGATGAAACTCTGGTTTATATCAATGGGAGTAAAGTTAGACAAACACTAAGCACTCCTTGAGATCCCACCCACAATATTTACACACACCGTGGTGTCTTTTAGATATATGTAATTTGTATAAAAGGGCAAAAACTTGAACGTGTATCCAGTGTATCTGGGTTTCTTATTCCCATGCTGGATGGGGTGAAAAGAGCTGGGATTTGAGGTTTGGTTTTTATTTTTTTTTTTAATTTAATTTTAATAACTCTGGTGTACATGCTTCCAGACTGCCTTGTTTTGTATGCTTAATTAAGTACAGACACTGAGATATTCATGTGGATGTCTTTCCTTATATCACCACAGAGTTATCTTGATAAACATTTGTAACATTTAGAATGGTTTCTTGCCCTTCACCTTTGGCCGACTTTGAAAACAACAGCAGCCCACAATCCCAGCCTCCTGGTCTCAGTGTGGGTCATGTGTGGGTATGGAGCTGCACGGCTGGCTTTGCTCCTGGGTAGGGTGCTGATGCTGAGCAGAGCTGAACACTCAGCACCACAGTCACGACTAGGCACTGTAGACTTGTTCTCCTGCCTTCCTCTCAGCAGCTGTCACTCATGAATGTTCCACCTTTCCATTAGTTTTATGTTGGAAGCAACCTACATGTTGGTCTCTAGCAACTGGTTTGGGCGTTGCAACTCTAGAACCTGAGCTTTGATTCCAATGGGTTCCTCTGGCAGACTATTACTGACATTTTTTTTCATACATACTGAACTGTTTGTAAACAGTATTGTGAGCTTCAGCTTTTGTAGAGCCTGAAATGAGCAGTTCAAGGAAGCTTGAGGCCAGGCTCTCCCTTGAAGTAAGGAACAAGATCATAAAGCTGGCTATAAACATTGCCTTCTTGGGACAGCATCTGAGCCTCCCTTTCTGGAGTGACAAGAGGAATATGAGTGAAATGCAGGAACTTGGTAGTTTTGTGAAACTGTCAGATTGTTTAGTTGGAGGACGTTGACAAACCCTCTCAACCAAAGTGCCTGAGTTGCTCTTCAAGAAGCTGCCCAAGCTCTTGTAATATCTTATCTCAGTTTCTCAATAGTGTTTAGCTTCAGGGACTTTAATTCAGAACAGCAAATGAGTAGACTGGTGGACTGTAAGCATCTATGGGAGACTATCCCATAAAAGCACAGTGCACTCTTTGGGAGACCTAGCACTTCAGAGTTGAGATCCATAAATGGAAGGTGAGAAAAATGCATGTTTGTAATATATCATATAGCAAATTGCTTCTTCAAAGATTTGCTGCACCTTTTTTCTCTCCTCTTAACAGCTGGCTGAATATATGCATTTCTAGTTAGAAGTAGGGTTGTCTTGACAGATCACAGAGGAAGTCTGTGTATTTGTACAGTATCACCATTCAATTTTCTGGTAATATTTGTGGTGCAGTTCAGAGGACCTCTTTATTCTGAACACTTGTTATGCCCTTCCTTGAAGCCCATTCAAGTGACCTATAACTTATTTTATGTCTATGTTTAAGTGTACCCTTTAAATCTTGTTTTGGACAGGAATAGATGATAGTATATACAGGAAAACTGCTGGAGCCACCGCTTGAGTAAGATATACAGGGCTAAAAAGAAAAACACAGATATATGTAACTAACTTAGATGCCAAAGGTTAGCTAAAAGTTAGTTTACTCCTACAGTGTACATTTCCTATATTGCTAAGGAAAAGAACAGGCCTTTGAAGACCTCTAGCACACAGTTTTGCAGAGCTAATGAGCTATGTGCTTCTTTTCATGGATTATTCTAGGTAGTTCCAGAGGATGGTTCAGACCTTTTTTCTCCATCAGTGTCACAGGGAAACAATAGGAAATATGCACAAATGGAGCACAGCTGGCTCCTCAAAAAAAAAAAAAAAAAAAAAATCCCCCCAAAACAACACCCAAAAAGTGGCAGTGAGGGCAGCATCTCTTTACCTTTTGTACAAAATTCTTGTAGTTTTAACATCTCTCTCCAAAGGCGAAGGCTTGTCTTCGAGGCCTTTCCCAGGCTGAAGGGGCTGAAGTCCATACCTCAGAACAAAGTTTTGATATTCGGCCTCTAATTTGAGGCTACATCTGCTGCTGTCAAAGCTGCTGAATTTGAAGCAGCCATGGACATCGAAGGGTTTATGCAGTTGACATTTAGTCACCGATCTCAGACAGAGTTGGTGTCCAAAAGTTCCTTCTATAGTCAGTAAAAGAGGGAGACCTTTCTGGTGGGTCATCCATAGCAGCCAAATAAGGTTCATGTATTTCTACTGTGTTTGGTGCATACAGCTGTTCGTGTTTGGCTGCAGGAGGGACCTCTTGGAAGGGCTTAAAGCAGCTGAACTGCAACTGTACTTGACTGAGCTCTAGTGGAAAATCTGTATAACCCCTCTTTATGTTATGCTGCTTCTCTCATCTGCTGACAAATACACTATTTCTCATGGAGTAAAGTGATCTGGGCTACTCTCTGCGCCTCTCTCACAACACTGAAATCTTTACAGATTGCACTTGGGTCCACATTTAGCCTTATACTGGTTTTTAACTTCAACTGTTTCAAAATATTTTCTTGTTGTGTTCCTAGCTTCCAGAACAATTTGAAGTCAGTGAGAGGGCAATAGGATGGATCAAGGACTGTTTCTTCTCTAAGGCATGCATTTCTGTCTGCTTGCCATGAAAGCTTCTGTGGCCATAGCCTGTTATGGGGCAAAGATAAAACAATATGTCTTTCCAATATTTGCTGGCTTGAAGGTCAGGTGTTCCTCTTGTCTTCTGATTATGGGGCTTTTTCATGGACTTCCTAAAAATTGCCTTTATATGGCCTGTGAGAAGCCTGCCTGGATGTTTTCAAGTGTCCTAAGCCACCTCATGTTATTTTGACACCCAGGGTTTCACCCATACCAGAATGGTCTGGCCATGACTGGGGCCATTTTGGTATGCTCGCTTTCTCAATAAGCAGTAAATCTGGTCTGGACGGTGCCTGATCTTGTACTCAAAACTTATGGTAGAGCTGTCCAGTTACCTTTTGACACCACTGGTAGGAAAACTGCAGCTAGAGAGGGACCATACGTAGCAGTGCAGAGGGACCATACGTAGCAGTGCTGTGACCTTCAGCCAAGAAGGGAAGATCCTTTATTGCCTTTCACTCCTTCCAGAGCAGTTCCGGCTTTGCAGCAATTTGTCTGAGAGAGAGTTCAGTATCTTGGAGGTGGCTACGTGGCCCTTTCCATGGAAGTGTCTGACTTTTGCCCTTCTCATTGAAGGGGCTGCCATGGTGGTGTTTCCTAAGGAAATGCAGCCAGCAGTACTTGAGGGCACGCTTCCTTGGTTAGATGTGTAGCCACAAGCTCCTGAACTTTTTTCATGGTACGCTCAGTGAACAATTTGACAGCAAAGTCATTGACCCAAACTAGCTTGCATCTCTACATTCTTTCCTGAGTAATTCTCATGGAAGACTATGTGAGTCCTGAGTCAGGACAGCAGGATTTTGGTCAGAGGAAGAGAGTATGTGTGTGTGGGGTGGGCCCCATTTTCTTTTCTTTCCCCTTCCAGTATAACATCATAAATGTGAGTGGACTGGAAACAGGATGACTTGTCATTGTTAATGTGGTTTTTTTTCCTTTGTTTTTCTAGGATCTAGTTCAGGATCAAAACTAAAAGTTCCCGAGCTGAGTGTAAATGGCATACAGCACGTTGTTCAAGCAGGCCAGACTTTAAACCTCACCTGCAGGTAACATCCTGAGTTGAATTCTGATAATTTGCCTGGGAGTTCAGACACCTGGCACTTTCTTTTCTTTGTAACTGAAATTAGAAAAAAATGAAACCTTATGTTGTGGAGAAAGGTGGGGAGTGAACTTCAATGGCAATTGTTCAATAGTTCTTTGTTGTTTCTGTTGTTGTTTTTGGAAAACAAGATAAAAGAGAACCCCAGAAATAGCCTGATATAATAAAAAAAGAAAGCTTGGGAACTGGAGCTATATAATTGCAGGCCAACATAATTGTTTCTGCTTCCTTATCTGTATTTGCAGGGGGGAAATGGTTCATTCATGGTCTTTGCCTGAAACTCTAAGTAAGGATAGCAAAAGGCTGAAAGTAATTAAGTATGCCTGTGGAAGGAATGGGAAGCAGTCCTGCAGCAGTCTGACCTTGAGCAGAACTCAAGCAAGTGACACTGGAAACTATAGCTGCAAATACCCAACAAGTCCAGCAAAAAAGAAGAAAGAATCTACAGTCTACGTATTTATTAATGGTAAGAGTACATTTTTTTGACACTTCTTGGTATTTGCACTTCAATACCGCAAAACAGATAAATAAGGCATTTCTGTTGTGGTTAAATACAGGATTTTGAGTTATATTTTCAGCCTTGCAAAATGTCATGATAGTTTACCAATTAATGTACATAATCTGCTTTGTTAGAGCTTGCAAAACATTAGTGTTTTATCTGTTAGGATAAAATGAAGATAGAAAAGACCAAATCCAGCCAGTCTGATAGAGTAAAGAGAACTCCACATGGAAGTAAACTAGAAGTGAATCTGTGAAATGAGTATCAGAGAAACCATATCTTACAGAATCAGATGATGACTGATGAAAACCATGTGTCTAGTACAATGTTCACTTTAACCTGTCTGTGTAAGAGTATAGATTTCTAGTCAGCTGAAGGATGTCAAAGATGTCTATCCACATCACTGAATTATCTCATGCTGTAGAAAATGATGACTTACATGTTAAGTCACATTCAGAAAAGCACTCTGGAGTCCACACTACACAGACTGTAAGAATCTAGAATAAATGGAATCAAACTAAACACAGAAATGTGTTCAGCAAAGAATTATTGTGTAATGTATGGGAAATTCTGGAATTAGGTCAGTTAGGCTATAACAGAAATTGTTTTCTGTTCCTGTTTTCTTCCAGGATATTAATCAGACACTTCTCAGAACAGTTGAATTCAATAGACATAGTAATAACAGAAGAAATTGTGAGCACTTTAGGGAGTTTAATATTTTTTTGTTTGTTTTTTTTTGTTTGTTTTTTTTTTATTTTATTTTTACAGAATAAAGTTAGTAGATTACTGTAAGGTATCAGGACTCACAGATTTTGAAGGCTCATGTTACAGAGAATGTGCAACTGGAAATTTTCCAAATTATGTGTCTACTGCTTCTAATGAGCTCACATCAGAGTGAATTAGCCTTTGTTTTCATTTTGTGACATGAAGAGTGGAACTGGTGCTGTGAAAAATCAGAATGAAGTAGACCTCTCACTACAGTGACAGAAAATAAGATGGCTCCTCCAGTTATTGTGTGTTGCTTTATTGAGAATTAATGAATAGTTAATGCTGTTCATCCTGCTTTTCTTATCTGAAATGTGCCACTGGGGTGTTTTTCTCACCCAACTATTTTTAATATAATTCACTGGATACCCAACAACAGATGGTTCCATGGAAGCATAACCAAAGTAGGTCATTCACTTAGTGACTGGCATTTCCTGCCACCTAGGAAAACTTACCATTTTCTTGGATGATTTTTGCACACTTCTTATCATGGGACCTTCTTGAACCTCCCACCTTGGATGTCATCTCTATCTGAGATCTACCCACAATCCTCTCCATTCACCACATGAGAAGAGCAAGGATAGTGGTGACTCTGACTGAGAACCTCTCTGCTCAACCCAATATATAAGAGATTCCTTTATGTTCTTTCGGTCTCTTTCCTGTTTGAAGTGTTAATTTTTCTGGATCCTGGCTTTTTATGAATAGAAGACACAACCAGTCTTTCTAACTCTTCACTGCTTCCTAAGTTGTATGTAGCTTGCTTGCGTCTGAAAGAGGGTCTCAGGTCCTAAGATGTACCTTGGGTGTATGTGAACCAAGGTTATCTGCCTACTTCACATGGTGATGGAAGAGAAACATATAATTTGAGAAATAGTTTTTGGGTAACCCCTTTCCCCACTGCCAATAATCAGTTAAGGAAGACTTGCTTGAGTGTCTCGGTTTTGTTGATTTTTTTCAAGGATGTTCAGTCATTAAATGTTGATGGCACTATTGAAGGTAGGATTAGATTACATTTTTCCTTCTACCTTACTTGCCAAAAACCAGTAAAAACTTAAAGGACAAACCCATATCAAGTTTAGATCTCTTTGGCATCTTAATTTTCAGAATTTGACAATTTTTTTTATTGAAAACCAATTTGTTAATGCTGAAGTGTTGATTGTGTCCTAGTAAACACATATGAGACTCAGGGCAGACTATTAGTAGTGAGGGAGGCTGCAAGGTAACTGCTCATTTAATGCTTGTTGAAGGTGCAACTGTGCCCTAAGGTGGGGAAAGGTATATTAGTCCTCCAAAAATTTACCATTTCAAGAAGAACTGTTGAGTAGGTTGTAAAGAAACGACATACTGAGTACCAAATCTCACCCTTTCCGATCAGTGTAGCATTAGCATTAGCATTTGGAAAGAAAATTCTTAGAGAGTCTCTTAGTATAAGTCATTGTTCCTGTGAACATGCATGAAATCGAGATATCTAGATCAAACAGAGGTGAGATGGGGATAACAAAATCCTCTGTGAAGGCTACCTTTCTTGAGCTTAGTTTTATTTTAAATTAATTTGTGGGCTTTTAGGAAATAAACATTTGTAAAATTTGGGTCCCTCCTAGTTTTGTATTGTTTCCTGTGGCAGGACATTGTGTCAGTCCATTTCCCATATTAGCTCCATGTGGATCACTGAGGTGACTGTTTCCCATGTCTTAGCATGCAGCAGAGGGGAATAAATAGTTGCTATTTACAAACACAGAATCCAAATTAGGAAAGTTGATATTGTTTGTACAGGAAGTCATCACTTATTGTTTTAAAATTGTTATTCATTTCCGTAATTAGAGTGATACTGAATATGAACTGCGTTTGGGGAAAAAAAAAAAACCAACAATAAACCCAGTAAGTTCTTTGGCTCAGTAATGAGTGTATGCTATGGCAGATGATGAGGTTTTATAGACAAAACCAAGATGCAAGATCACGAGGAGGTCAGACCACAAGTCCCATGCCCATGTGCCACAGGATGACTTGAAGCATTTCTGAAGTCCTGTGTTTGGGTGATCAAGAACAGGCAGGCTGGTGACTTCTCTTGCAGTACTGGTCCTGACACCACCCATCTTTCAGCTAGAGAGGTCACTACTGAGTTGCGCAGGGGAGTGAGTGTGCAGTGCGTGTTGCAGCAACTCTTGACCACAGAGAGCTCAGGAGTTGGGACAAAAAGCAAAGGAAATTACTTATCTTAAGAGCCTTAGACTTGGCTCTAAGGAAACTGATGGTTAGACTTCCACCACAAGCCATGGGGAAAAGCTGAAATGAAGCAAAACCTTTTTGCCTATTTCTCCTCTTTCTTGGACAACATAACTTTGTTATGCAACTGAAGCCTAGTAATAAAATTGAAAGACTTGTAATGAGCACTCATCGCATACATTGGAGTGAAGCATGGGCAATTTTCTTCTTGAAAAGAGATAATATGGAATAAAGACATTTAAGGAACACCAAATTATCAGCAGGCTGTTTTGAAACCTATGTAGATTTCCCTGGGGACAAGTGCTAAGGGCTTTTCTTTGTGTCTGCCTTTGTTATGGCATCTCCAAGACACTTTTCCAGTTGCTGGAGCTCATTCATTTTCTTCAAAAATGTGCAGTTCTCTTTATTCTGTGCTCTCATCTTTTCTTGCCTTTGATCAGTTGTTCCCGTGGTATGACAGAGGAAAAGCATTTACATTTAATTACATTTATATATCAAGGTTAGGTTTTTGCAAGAATTTAAACAAACTTGGATTCAAGTTGAAGAATTGCTACTTCCTGTGAAGACAGCTTTCAGCTATCAATATACAAGAGTAATATCTTAATTCTGCTGCAACTGGGAATTCTTCTCTAGGTGAAGTTGTACTTGACTTTAGGGTATTAGCCCATTTTCTAGTTAATGTTCTCTCTCTCCTTGTCTCTCCTCACACTCCTGCTGTGCATGTCTTCTGAACGCATACATTTCCTTGCAAAATGAGACAGGTACTGGTACTTCAGTCAAGCACCATACAAAATATTCTGTTTTGAAACAAGACCTCTGGGCTGAGTCGCTTGTCTATTGTCTTTCTGTACTTAACAGAGAGAAAAAATAACCTTCTGGTACGTATTTCTCATCACTGACTTTACAAGGAATCTGGAGAACAAGCTTAGAATAGATGTCTTGCTTTGAGGTGGTTTGTCAGATGACGCAAATCAGAGCTGAGTAATTAAGGTACAAGTCCTGAGAATACTTGTACTTGTCAGTGTCTAGAATGTCAAACGTCCACTAGTTTCGGGTATTTGGCTTGAGATGTGTCTCAGGGTGGACAGTCCAAAATGAAGGGCTTTCAGCATTAGTAAATGGCTCAAAATGTCAGCCATTTAAGCACCAAAACATCTGGAGTTTTGAGTGCATTTTCAAGCTCCAAAGTTGTCTTCTGCATCTGCTGAGTGTATGACATCTCCTTGGGAGGTCCTTTTGTTGACAGATAGCTGGATCCAGCCCCAGAAATGACATGGATTTAGGATTTAGCTTGAATGGATTGACTCCCGGAACCCTGAAGGAACTATGTTGCAGAACGGGGAGGGCATTCAAAGAGTTTGCCAAAAGGGTCACCGAAGATAAGAAATGTCAAAGTCAAAATAATACAACAGGTGAAAAAAGCAGTAGGACAAAGTACCCTGAAAGCTAAGAGAAAGGGAGATTTTCTTATTTTTTTTCTTTTTCAATTCTTATTCAGAAATAATGTACGGACAGAAGAACCTCCTGAGGCCTGGGAAACTCTCCCTCCCATGTGCCTTTTTTCCCTCTTTGCTTTTGGCACAGTTTTAATGTATGAGCAGGCTGGTTTTGGCTTACACTGTCAGAGTCAATAATATGATAGCGCTTCTGTTATGAAAAGGAAACTATTTGAAATTAAACTATATTACAGCTGTATCAAGTATGCGGACACATTTTTAATGTCTAATGAGGTTCCTGTTACAAAACAGAGCCCTCTAGGACTTGCTGACGTCAGTGACCTATAATTACCATGCTTTTGTCATTGCCTGTACATGGACTTCACATCATAATACACTGTTGAGCTGAGCGTGTGTGGACATCTTGGCAGCATCAAAGGCTGTGCACTAAGCCATCCAGATGAGCCATTGTGAAGGAGGGATACATCTCAAAAAGTGTTCTTAATGCCTGTTAGCCTTGCTAAAGATCACTTTCTGAACATAGTAATTGCTCTAGTGTGGATTTCCTGGCTAACGTGGGTTTGAATGTTTTTCCTTAAGAGTTTTAGCTGTGTTTTATGTGTGTTATGGACCTACATCGATGATAGCATAGCATAACTAGCCCCAAAGGAAAACAAAGCAACCCTGCCCAAAAATCACTGTACAATTATGCTAGCAATGTTTTGTGTCTGAATATGCTCCAGATATAAAGTATCCACCTCCTTTTTTTATTATTTTTTATTATTTTTTAATTTTTCCCTTGGACATCTATGATTATGAATTTGTATCTCTAGTATTCCTTAAAGGTTTAGAAATCATTTGAATTTGAAGAGTACTGTTTTACAAGCTAAGAAGAAGATAGCATGGAAAAGCTCTTCTTGCAGATAAATACTGTGCTTCCAGACATACAAAATGGGATTATTTTTTTTCTTAAGGAACACAGACACCTACATGTGAGTAGGTTGAACAAGTACATTTCCTAGGGCAGGGTTCATGTCATCATAAAGCAGATGTCTAAAACAGGTCAGATGAGTCCCATGTCAGAACTCTCCCTTTCTTGCCACTGACACTTGCAGTTTGGCCACCTAACTCAGTGAGAAATATCTATATTGTATATGTATAAGTGAGATGAAAGCCAGTCTTGGTGTGCAAGGTTCTCCTTGAAGTACTTCTGAACAGCCCTACTACTAATTTAGTGAGCATAAATAAAGTTAGTTAGAGTGAATCTCCACAATGGAAAGGGGAATTTGGCAGTTGGCCCATTAACTTTAATGAAGTTTGCATGTCTGTACTTCAGTGAAGACATTGGTCCTCTTCATGTGCATGAGGAAGAAGAGTATTATGTGAATGTGAGGAAACTGTTTTGGCTCTTTTAGCCTGAAAAAAAAAAAATTAATGATGAGCCAAGTACAAGTAGGAATTCTGGAAGAACTTCAGAAGACAAACTTAAGGAGATTTCAAGGAGCTCAGATTTTCCCGCAGAGACTTTTCTTCTTGCAAATATATGTATAAGTACTCTGACTTACATAGCTCAGATTATCAGGAACAAATGAGATCCAAGAACAGTAGCTGAAGCTTGTGGAAGTAAAGAACCTCTCCATCTTTTCTGAATTCAGTATTTTTTTGTTGGCTAATTTAGTTGTTTGTGCAAACCCCATAAATAGCCTAGACAGGTTACTGATATCAGACATAATATTGCTTGAGTTAAGCCTCTTATCAAGTTTGTATCTGACTGCCAACCAGCTTAATAAAAAGCTGCTATTTATGTTCTTTAACAGTATAGCAAGTGACCTTTGTGGATATTGTGATTTCATAAATGCTCTTTGTGTTTTTGTGTTGATTGTAACTGAGAGATATTGTAAGGAATACAGTCAAACCAGCACACAGTCATTAATTCCAGGCACAATTTAAAAATACGCTAACTTCTAATGTAACCTTTAGCATATGCAAATATTCTGGCTGTCCATCTTTCATTTTGCTACCATAGCAGACAGCTCTGAAACAAACAAACAAACAAAAAACCCCCAACCAAACCCAACCAAAAATCCCAAACAACAACAACAAAACTACACCAAACCCAACCCCCCCAAAAATGGAAAAAACAAGGACAACTCTCCTAGATCTTCCATTCCAAATTCCAACAGAGCTGAATATGTCTTCAAGATAGGTCAATCCATGATGTTCTTTTTATGTCTAGAGCTTTCTGAACATAAAAGTGAGTGAAGCTGGCCCAGAAGACCTCTGGTGGGAGGCTAGGTCATCCCAGATATGCTGCCATACAGCTGTTCATGGAAGGGTAGCGTTTACCTCCCCTCAGGAAGGAATTGGGAGGAAATGTAGCAGGAACTACTGGCAATAGCTGGGGCTATGATGGGAGGGAAAAAAATAAGCAAGGACCACTACTATTTGGGTGGCAGAATGATTTCACATTGTTGGCATACCCTGCCAATGTGGCATAACCTGCCCTGGTGCTGCTGTGGGGTCGACTTTACCTGATCCAGCCTGGTAGAGCACACACCAGATTCCTGAGGCACTGAGAGTATCCCCTTACGGCCATTAAGACGGAAGGCGAATAAAATCCAAGGGAATCAGGAAAAGCCTCCTCCACACTCGCTATGAAAACAAAACTGTGCTAGGAAACATGATGCGTATTTCTTTTAATCAAAAGCAGGAAGACATTTGGAGCACTTGGGGCCATCAGTTGCCCTCTGGCCCACGGCGGAAGTCCCCAGTGATGTCAATGGGAGCTCCACACGCGAATAGCGGGGGCGCGGAGACGCCTCGGAGTGCCGCTGCAGGGAGCGGGCCCAGGGAGCCTGCGCCTGAGCGCCAAGGGCCTCCGAGGGCGGCCAGAGTGTTTCGTTGGCTTCTGCAGAGCGGTTTATTAACC